GATTAGGTTCAATGTAACCTAACATTAAGGACCATATTAGAAGTTCATTGTTGGGGTAAATAATACTGAATGGACTCTTGTTAGAAAGGTGGAAAGAAGGGAATGTAGTTATCTGGCTATTTTGGAAAAATAAGAGGTGACTATATTCTCTATTCATGTTTATAACATGAAAATGGCCTTATTTTTGTTCCTGGCATGAGTCAATAATGAGTTAAATATTTTACTGGAATTTCATCAAAACCTATTCTTGTTGTTCATTCTAAGAATTCGAGAGGGGAATATAGTAGTAACTTGTCTATTGACACTTTTGCCTTACCAAAATGGTCTGTGAGCCCAAAAAAATTTGGAACTACTATTCTATAAAGATGAAGGTCTGCATTTTGACACAATTTTATACGAATTTGTTGGACTGTTTCAATAGACACCATATAGAAGTGGCATAATTGATGTTTCTTGAAAGAGGCTGATTTGCTTATTCATCAATACTTAATCTAATATACTGACCGTAATCTTTATTTCAAAGTCTTTTTGAGGACACTACGGTGTAGCTTAACGGAATTGAAAAGGAGTTCATAAAAGCATGTTTTTTTAATTACTTATAACAAAGCACAAATTACTTATAACAAGGCAAATATTTATTGACACATGTAAGACACTCTGCTAGGCACTGTAAAAAAAATTAGTAATGGCTTTTGTATACATAGGTACCTAGGACATTCAAAAGAAGGAAAAAATGCTTAATGAGTGAAAATAGCACTTAAATACATTGACCTTTACTCTAGATTTGTTTTTAAATGTGGTTAGTGTTTTTCCATATGTAATGTAAGTGTCTTAGGCCATGCAATTATTAGGAGTTTGATTTTTCTCTACCTTCAGCAGTCATTGTGGCTTAATCAGAACCCTGTTAAGTTCCTGGACATGTCGAGATAAAGTCACTTCCCCTTACAGGAAGCAAAGAGCACCCCTCACACATTTATTTACCTCCTCCAACAACCTGTATCCTTGGTCCTTTTTGATAATTTTCTCTGCTTGGTCTCTCTCTACTCTCTTATCAACAGCTGATGTCATCTGCTTCCCTCAGAGCCACCTTCTAGTGAACATGTCCAAATTTTTAATAAGAAAAAAAGAGAAGAACACCTATATTTCCTTGCTATTAGAATCAAAGTGTCACTGAGAATGTGAACATCTTGACTGAAACAGAACGCACTGGTCAAAGAAATGAATAAAGGGGAAATGAAACATGTCAAAGGCACGAAGGAAAAAAAGTCCTTTTCTGTAAAAATGTCAATTCCTACACTAGCTTTAGAATTGCTCAGGACCTTCCTATTCCTCTGACCTCTATCTCAACTCTTGTTCACTTCCCACACTACGAAACAGGGAGGGAGGCCCGTACCTTCCAATATTGTGCAGAAAGTAGAGTCCATTCTCAAGCTAATTTGGGGTCTGAATAGATTTGCAAGAATCATGCTTCCCAAATGATCTGGGATCTCACTATGTGTATAAATATTACCAAATTCAAGTATGTTTCTTGTTCTATTTCTTCTCTAAGATTGAAAGTGTTGAAAGGATAGTAGTTCATCAGCAAATCTGTGAGGAATCTTGTCAGACTGTGATCATTCCTGGGACTAGTTAAATGTGAGAACTGCAATACCTTCCTGTTGCAGGCTCACCTGGTCTTGCCCTCAGATAGTCCTGGCTACAGGACAGGATTTCAGGCATCTGAAGCTGGAGTGTGGACCAAGCAAGTAGTTATTCTTCCATAAAAAAGGATGTTTTGCAATGTGATATAATAATTCTATATCTAGCAGGGACACTGAAAAATGGTTATGTCTACATTATTAAGTGAATGAAACAAATCCTAACTGAACAGAATTAATTTTGCAGTTTTATTTTTTTTAATTTCTACTAGGTCTTAAAACAGGCAGTGTATGAAGAGTTTTAGTTTGTGGGAGTCATGTTTTCGGTGATCAATAATTCCTATTTTATTTAGAATATATTGAATGTCAGTTTAATTGTTTTGTCATTGTTTTCTGTTTTTAATAGTTTCTAGATTACCTACTTTTAACCATCAATGAGCTTTTCCCAACTATTTTTTGGGAATCTATTTGTGTTTATTTTTAGACAGTAAACATTTAGATTCCCTTTCTGGTACTTTTTCTTGTCCATTTATATCAAGAGATTTGAAGAAAACAGTATCTGTCATTGTAAAATATAACTTTATTAAATTTGCAATCTG